AACTGGAATTGGGCTTGAGTTCCGTGAATCAGGGTTAAACCTTAACGGCAAGAATGATAGAATTCTGAAATCTGGCATGGTTTTTAACGTGTCTCTTGGGTTTCAGAATTTGCAAACAGAGTCTAAAAACCCAAAAACTGAAAAATTTTGTGTCTTGCTTGCTGATACAGTTGTTATTGGTCAAAATGCTCCAGAAGTGGTGACTTCTATGAGTTCTAAAGCTGTAAAGGATGTGGCTTACTCATTCAATGAGGATGAAGAAGAAGAGGAGGTGCAGCCGAAGGTCAAAGCTAAGCCTGTAGCCGCTGATGGACTCTCATCCAAGGCTATGCTTAGGTCAGTTAACCATGAGACATCAAGGGAGGAACTAAGGCGGCAACACCAGGCAGAATTGGCCCGCCAAAAGAACGAAGAAACTGCACGGAGGCTCACAGGAGGAAGTTCTGGGGGGTCAGATAGCCGTGGAGCTGTGAAAGCCACTGGTGAACTGGTTGCATATAAGAACGTTAATGATCTGCCACCTCCAAGAGATTTGATGATTCAGGTTGACCAGAAGAACGAGGCTATTCTTTTACCTATTCATGGAACCATGATACCATTCCATGTCTCCACTGTGAAAAGTGTATCTAGTCAACAAGATACTAACCGTACCTGCTATATCCGAATAATGTTCAATGTTCCTGGCACTCCATTCACTCCTCATGACACAAATAGTCTAAAGTTCCAGGGGTCAATATATGTTAAAGAAGTTTCATTTCGTTCAAAGGACCCAAGGCACATCACTGAAGTGGTTCAACAAATAAGATCCCTTCGCAGGCAGGTTGTCTCTAGAGAATCAGAGAGAGCTGAGAGAGCAACTTTAGTAACACAGGAGAAACTTCAAGTTGCTGGAGCCAAATTTAAGCCAATAAAATTGTCAGATCTGTGGATTCGTCCAGTATTTGGTGGTCGTGGGAGAAAGCTTCCTGGTACTCTAGAGGCTCATACAAATGGATTCCGCTATGGAACTTCAAGGTCAGATGAGAAAGTGGATGTTATGTATGGTAACATCAAACATGCATTCTTCCAGCCAGCAGAAAAGGAAATGATTACCGTCCTCCACTTTCACCTGCGTAATCACATAATGGTGGGAAACAAGAAAACCAAGGACGTGCAGTTCTATGTTGAAGTGATGGATGTTGTGCAGACAATTGGAGGTGGAAAAAGATCTGCTTATGATCCTGATGAGATCGAGGAGGAACAACGTGAAAGGGATCGGAAAAATAAGATCAACATGGAATTCCAAACATTTGTGAACAAGGTGAATGACCTCTGGGGCCAGCCTCACTTTAAAGGGCTTGATTTGGAGTTTGATCAGCCGTTGAGAGAGCTTGGGTTCCACGGGGTACCCCACAAGTCAACAGCTTTTATAGTCCCAACATCTAGCTGCCTTGTTGAGCTCGTAGAGACACCTTTTGTTGTGATCACTCTCAATGAGATTGAGATAGTCAACCTAGAGAGAGTTGGGCTTGGGCAGAAAAATTTTGATATGACAATTGTATTCAAGGATTTCAAAAGAGATGTTATGCGAATTGATTCTATTCCTTCAACTTCCCTTGATGGTATCAAGGAGTGGCTTGATACAACTGACCTTAAGTACTACGAGAGCAGGCTGAATCTCAACTGGCGTCAGATACTGAAAACAATTACTGATGATCCAGAAGAATTCATAGAGAATGGCGGATGGGAGTTTTTGAATTTAGAAGGTACTGATTCAGAATCCGACCACTCACAGGAGTCTGATCAAGGATATGAACCTTCAGATGTAGAGCCTGTCTCGTCAGACGAGGAAGATGATGAAAGCGAATCAGTAGTGGAGTCAGAAGATGATGAAGGAGAGGACTCAGAGGAATACTCCGAAGAAGAAGGAAAAACATGGGAAGAATTAGAAAGAGAAGCAAGCAATGCCGACAGAGAGAAAGGAGCGGAATCAGACAGTGACGATGATAGGAAGAGGAGGAATATGAAGGCTTTTGGGAAAGGTCGTCCTCCAGAGAGAAGAAATCTCGCTAGCAACATATCCAAAAGACCCAGGTTTAGGTAAAGAGCGACAGTGGTAGCCTGCTATTTCGTTTTAGGCCATTTGTTTAGGCTACATAAGGTCATGATAAGCAGCTGTAAAATATTTATGAGACAACTGAGTTTAGACTTGGGTCTTTCTTGTAGTATAGCGGTGCTCTCTTTTTCTGTGTTTGCGAAGTAGTTTATTGGTGTAACATAAGATTGTGCAACTTAAGTTGGGTTAAGTTCCAGTTCATCCATTGACGTTGTCTCCTCATTTTTCAGAAAGAAGTTGTTAGTCACTACATTTTCAAGGACAAGTAGGATAAATGCTCGTCTCTATAGTACAAAAGGTCGTGTTCTACCCATCATTTAGTGTTACAGAAATACCTGGGAGTATTTAGCATTATCGCATATACTATAAGCTTGTAAATATTTGGATACAGATGTGTCATAGGTATGCACTAGGCTACTACAGCTTGAAGTGAGAATGTGACTGCATGGCTTAAATCTTTTGTGAAATGATCTGAAACTGGTACCAGTTGATGAATGTATGTGGCTGACACGTCTGCCAATTTGTCTGTCCAAATTCGAACAGCCATTCGCAAATTACCACCCCAGTACTATGTTGCGCAACATCCTACCGCTTGATTTCACAAGGCAAAATTAGAAATATGGTGTTATTTACGTGTTTTATGCCCCCTTTAGTTCTACTTTCAGTTAAGCTACTTGAAGAACTAGGGACAACAATGCAAAAATGGGAAGATGTATTCGAAATCATATGCATCTTTTTTTGCTTTTTTTCCTTTCCCGTGGATAACCAATTGAGAGAGGCGACTTCTGATTTTCAGACAACTTAGGCTGGAATACGTTATGAGAACCAACATATGATGCAGCTTTGATGTTGAAATCCTGTAGAGTTATAGGAAGTACCTTGAACAGAGGCATGGCTGTCAATGTTAACAATGGAATGAGAATCATCACTTATCCCATTGTTATTTATTTATTGGCTATAAGATTCTACTCATGATCAATATGCCTGCCGTGTCTCTTGGGAGCAATTTTCTGTGCTCGGATGAGGAGCGTATGATCTAGCAGATTGTCTTATTGCTACAGAAATATTAACAATTCCAATACGAAACAGAAACTTCAAATGTCTATCAGTAGAATCGCATGCTAAAAAGGACAAAATGAAAAGGCCAAGCTAAGGCATGTACAGCTAGAATTTCTAATCTGACATGCTTAAAATTCGTCCCAAGACAATTTGCCAAATATATGCAACTTTCTGACAAACAATCTGCAGGTTTCTCAAAGGCAAAACAGATAAAAGCATTAGACATATGTTTCCGCAGATTTGACGCTACTAATTTACAAGATCAAAATTACCACCTACTTGGAACCAAAAGCAGCGTAAGAAGAAACAAAATGAAAGCAATTCTAAGATCCAGAATAAGTTAAGACAACTATTTCTAGGCAGCTTGATTCTGCGCATCCTGAAGGTACCTAATAAAGAAACGGCCTTCTAACACATCTACCTGAACTTCATTCGCTTGCTGGCAGCAGAATTGGGACCAACTCGTGACTTGCCAAAATTCTTCTTTCTCTTCCTCTTCTCATCCTCGCTATCTGATTCATTCCCATTCTCCCTATCTGCATAGCTTGCTTCTTTCTCCAGCTCTTCCCATGTTTTACCTTTTTCTTCCTCTGACTCTTCATCTTCTTCTTCTTCCTCATCATCTTCAGACTCAACCAGAGATTCGCTATCAGACTCATCATCATCAGAATCTGACTCAGGTTCAGCATCTGAAGGTTCATAACCTTGGTCTGATTCTGAATCTCCAGATGATGAGTCAGTACCTTCTAAGTTTAAAAATTCCCAGCCACCATCATCAATAAACTTCTGTGGCTCATCAGTTATGGTCTTCAACACTTGACGCCAATTCAGATTCACCTTGCTCTCATAATACTTGATGTCAGTTGTGTCGAGCCATTCCTTGATGCCATCAAGGGATGAAATAGGGATTGAATCTATCCGCATGACGTCTCGCTTGAAGTCCTTAAAAACAATAGCCATATCACAGTTCTTCTGCCCAAATCCAACTCTTTCCAAATTAACAATCTCAATCTCACTTAGGGTTATCACAAGGAATGGGGTCTCTACCAACTCAACCAAACAGCTGGAGGCTGGTACAATGAATGCAGATGATTTATAGGGCACCCCATGGAACCCAAGTTCTCTCAGAGGTTGATCAAATTCCAGGTCGAGTCCCTTAAACTGAGGCTGGCTCCAAATATCATTCACCCGGTTCACAAAATTTTGAAAGTCCATGTTGATTTTGTTCTTCCGATCTCTTTCCCTCTGTTCTTCCTCAATCTCATCTGGATCATATGCCGATCTCTTTCCACCTCCAAGCGTTTGGACCACATCCATTACCTCAACATAGAACTGAACATCCTTGGTCTTCTTGTTCCCCACCATGATGTGGTTGTGCAGATGAAAGTGAAGAAGGGTAATCATCTCCTTCTCTGCTGGCTGGAAGAAGGCATGCTTGATATTACCATACATGATGTCAACACGTTCATCTTGTCTTGTGGTTGAATACCGGAAACCATTGGCATGAGCTTCCAGTGTACCAGTAAGCTTTCGTGCACGACCACCAAATGTGGGACGGATCCATAAGTCAGGCAGCCTAACTGGCTTGAATTTGTTCCCTGCAAGGACAAGCTTTTCCTGAGTCACTAAAGTTGCTCTTTCAGCTCTCTCGGACTCCCTTGCCATAACATTACGTCGAAGTGTTTTAATCACCTGGACCACCTCACTTATGTGCCTAGGATCCTTGGAACGAAATGAAACTTCCTTTAGGTAAATGGCACCTTGATTCTTTGATGCATTCGCATCAGTAGGTGAGAAAGGAGCACCAGGAACATTAAATATGATTCGGATGTAGCAGTTACGGTTGGTGTCCTGTTGGCTTGAAACAGTCTTAACAGTAGCCACATGGAAAGGAACCATATTACCATATATTGGTAGAAGGATGGCTTCATTCTTCTGGTCAACCTGAATAACCATCTCTCTGGGTGGTGGCAGGTCATTGATACTCTTATAGGCAACAACATCAGTTGAAGTCCTAGCAGTGCCCCTGCTATTGCCAGTTAAGTTTTCTGCACCGGCAAGACGTCGAGCAGTCTCTTCATTCTTCTGACGGGCAAGTTCTTCCTGGTGCAGCCTCCTCTTCTCTTCTTTTGAAATCTCATGATTGTCAGACCTAAGTGTTGCCTTGGCATGCATGGTCTCCCTACCATTGGACTTGGCTTTCACTTGCAGCTCCTCTTCTTCTTCATCCTCATTGAAGGAATAGGCCACATCCTTCAAAGCTTTGGAGCTCAAATGGGTGATCACATCATGGCCATCCTTTGTGACAATCACTGTATCTGCTAGCAAAAGTGAAAAATTCAGACTCTTTTCACTTTTGGTCTCATTCTGCAAATTGTGGAAACCAAGTGACACATTGAAAACCATTCCCGGTCTCAACAGTTTATCATTCTTAGCATTAAGGATCAACCCTGACTCCCGAAACTCAAGACCGATCCCTGTTCCAGCAGATTTTGTCAGGTTGTTAACCAATTCAGGGGCGTCCCTGTCAACCACAGCAAGAGCTGCTTGATAAACAGCACTAACCTTGTTACCAGCTTTCAATGCACCAATTGCTGCCTCCTGGGCTTTAAGAAGTACTTCATAAGCTTTAGTCTGCATCTGAGTGGAATCAATTAGAAACGTTCTGGCAAGATTCGAACAATAGCTGCTGTATCGTGAACCAATTGCACATATGATGACACTGGCAGAATCATAATACAAACCATCATCGTTGCTTGTAGCACTGGGTCTAAGATCAAAAACACCACCACTCTGAAAGATTGGAGGGTAACAAATATCAACATTCTCAGCTTTCAGCTTCACCTTGACTTTAGCAGGGTCCAGAATAGCCTTTTCTGTGTCATCCATTAACGAGGAATGTGTTACTTTCTTCTCCTCATCAATTACTTTCTCAAGCTTCGGAACAACAAAGTTCTTCATAGCAGAAGCAGTCAGATGTGCAGCTTTCTTCACGTTTGTTAGCTCATTTTGGTCCTTTACAGCAAAAAGGTCAGAAAGTCCATTCGACACATCAATAAGCTGAAGGCCAGAATCTTTTATCTTCTTAGTCCATGTCTCCAAGAGCTTTCCTTCAGGGCCTTCTCGTGCAATATATCCAATAACAGGGGCATCATAAGCATCAGATATTGACTGCTGACGGATAGCATGGAGCACGTTTTCCATTTGAGTAGACCCATCCTCGCTTTTGGCCTTCACATGCATGACAACTTCCACGCCTACAGCCTCTTTAGCAGTCGATTTCACAACATTCAGCAATGAAGCTTTCTTTTGGCTACAGAGAAAATGTATCTGCTTGTTTCCGAAGACCATTATAGTCTCAGGGAACTCATATCCAAGTAACCAAATATTTACAGCTGAGGATTTCAAGTATCTCAAGTCCTCTGAAGGCGGTGGAGTAGCTATAGCAAGGACATCAGAAGAGCCCCAAAACTCATCTTTATGTTCACGCCAGTGTGAATATAAGTCCTGCAGTCGCCTACTAAAAGTGTTCAAGTCAATTGTATAAGCATTTCCACCTGTCGCATTCCCATTAGCAGGGGGACCATTTCCTTGTTTTTGTTCTGGCATTGTATGGCTATGACTACTTGACTAATCTGGACAAGAAAACACAAAAAGTGCACAAGTTACTTAAAGAAGGAGAATATAACAAATGCAATCTTAAGAGATCCTCTCTACAAATTCCAACAACTCCAGTTTCAAAAATCTAAAATGTCTGCTGAGTAAGCATTGTTAAATCATCATTCCTTTAGAATTTCAAAAAACTTGAAACTCATATGGACAATCTCACACTGTTTTCATAGTTATATCTATGATTAATATCACTCACCAGAACCCAATGTCTCACCATTTTTGTCAATAAGTACTGAATCAGTTATCAGTTGCGGAGTTGCCCATTAAAATAAGCATTTCGTTTTTTGTAGATAAAAGAGAACAGGTAAATAAGACTCCCCAATGTGCAAAAGAATTCACAAAAAATGCATTGCTCTACATTGTTAAGGATGATTCTTTTACCCAAGCCCAAATTATCCAATGCAATTTCTTGGTATGCAACAAATGAGGTCAATTAATGAATTGCCAAGCACAGCCCTTCAAGCTACGGGAAATTCAAAAGGCAAGACATGAAGAGACTCTTTAAGGATATACAATAAC